GCTTGCTGCTTCGCCCTGCCAGAGGCCCAGGGCTTGTGGACACTCCTGCTCTGCCTTGACTGTATGCTAGAGCCCCCTAACTGTTTGGTGCCCTGTCCAGTTGGAGGACCAGGCCCCTAGACTCAGCTCTGGATTACCCCGCCGAGTGGCAGAGAACCCCATGCTAATTCCCCCCCTGAATTGTGCTTGTTCAGAGGACTTGCAGTGAGGGGGCATGGCCTCCCTCCCAGATGGATGGAGGGATAGCCATGACCGCCTTACACCTCCTTATATGTGCATAACACTCGGCAAGCATTGGCAGGTCCAGACCTGTGCCAGAACCCCAATCTGAACACTTGCACATAAGGATTATAATTTGTCCCACAAAATCCATTTGTCCTAATTAATTTTGCAGGTGTAAATTAACACTCGCTAACAGCATTTTTCATGTTCATCTGCAAAATGTGCCCAGGCGTATGTGTGCATTGGTTATTTTTTGTTTTGTTTTGCCTACAGGCTGAATATTTGGTCCTGAAATTTGTCGTTGGTAAATTTGAAACTTGATTTTTAAATTCATGGAGGGTTTTAATAACAATATCTCCACTTGGTTGTTCTGGCACATACCTATTGTCCAGAAAAAGAATAACTATAATCCTATGTAACAATCTTCTGAAAATGTAATTTATTGTTGCCTTGGCATAAGACCTGTGCGTGTGTAAAAACCGATTCACACCATATTCAGAGTAACTAGTTAATTAACCATTTAGGGATTGATCATAGTGCAAGAGATGAGCGTAGTGCATAGAAATGCAAGGCAAAAAGTGGTAAACATGATAGGGAATCCAATATTGGACACTTTAAATCATGTAGCAGGGGAAATTGAGAGACGGAACTTCTGCCTCTTTTCTTTAACTTTATGGGGCAGATTTGAATGGAGAGCCTGGAAGTTTAGTGATCCTGGAGCAGTGCATGAACTAGGAGGATTTATAAAACTACCTAGAGAAGATGTTGGTGACCTGACGAGGAACCAGGACTGTCAGGATAGAATCTAGCGCTAGATGAGACCTAGTCCATTCCCCCACGCTGAGGCAGGACCTCGTATAGCTGGCCCATCCCTGACAGGTGTTTGTCTAAGCTGTTCTTAAACCCCCCCAGTGACAGGAATTCCCCAACCTCCTTTGGAAGCCTATTCCTGTACTTAATGATCCTTGCCGTTAGAAAGTTTTTCCTAATATCTAACCTAAATCTTGCTGCAGATTAAGCCCTTTACTACTTATCCTACCTTCAGTGGACATGGAGAACAATTGATTATTGTCCTCTTTATTACAGCTGTTAACATATTTGAAGACTGTTGTCAGGTCCCCGTCAGATTGGTGGAAACTATAGTAAAGAACAGAATTATCAGACACACATAAACACGATCGGTTGGGAAAGAGTCAACGTGCCTCTTGTAAAGGGAAGTCCTGCCTCACCAATCTATTAGAGTTCTTTGAGGGAGCCAACAAGCATGTAGACAAGGGGGATCCAGTGGATATAGTGTACTTGGATTTTCAGAAAGCCTTTGACAAGGTCCCTCACCAAAGGCTCTTATGCAAAGTAAGCAGTCATGGGATCATAGAATCATAGAAGATTAGAGTTGAAAGAGACCTCAGGAGGTCATCTAGTCCAATCTCCTGCTCAAAGCAGGACCAACCCCAACTAAATCATCCCAGCCAGGGCTTTGTCACGCCTGACCTTAAAAATCTCTAAGGACGGAGATTCCACCACCTCCCTAGGGAACCCATTCCAGTGCTTCACCACCCTCCTAGTCAAAAAGTTTTTCCTAATATCCAACCTAGACCTCCCCCACTGCAACTTGAGACCATTGCTCCTTGTTCTGTCATCTGCCACCACTGAGAACAGCTGAGCTCCATCCTCTTTGGAACCCCCCTTCAAGTAGTTGAAGGCTGCTATCAAATCCCCCCTCACTCTTCTCTTCTGCAGCCTAAATAAGCCCAGTTCCCTCAGCCTCTCCTCGTAAGTCATGTGCTCCAGCCCCCTAATAATTTTCATTGCCCTCCGCTGGACTCTCTCCAATCTGTCCACATTGGGATAAGAGGGAAGGTCCTCTCACAGATCAGTAACTAGTTGAAAGATAGGAATAAATGGTCAGCTTTCCTAATGGAGAGACATGAACAGTGCCCCCGACCCCAAGGATCTATACCTGAACCTGTGCCGTTCAACATATTCATGAATGATCTGGAAAAGGGGGTGAACAGGGAAGTGGCAAAGTTTGCAGACGACACAAAATTATTCAAGATAGTTAAATCCAAAGCTGACTGCGAGTAGTTACAGGGGAACTTTCTAAAACTGGGTGACTCAGCAACAAAATGGCAGGTGAACTTCAACGGTGATAAGTGTAAAATAATGCACATTGGAAAAAAATAATCCCAACTATACATATAGAGTAGTGGGTTCTAAATTAGCTATTACCACGCAAGAAAGAGATCCTGGAGTCAGCATGGATACTTCTTTGAAAACTTCACCTCGGATGCACAGCAGTGGTCAAAAAGACTAACAAAATGTTAGGAACCATTAGGAAAGGGATAGAAAATATCATAATGCCACTATGTAAATCCATGATATGTCCACACCTTGTATATTGTGTCCCGTTCTGGTAACCCCTTCTCAAAAAGGACATAGTCGAACTGGAAAAGTTTCAGAGAAGGGCAACATAGATCATCAAAGGTATGGAACGGTTTCCATATGAGGAGAGACTAAAAAGATTAGGGTTGTTCAGCTTAGAAAAGAGATGAATGAGAGGGGACATGACAGAGGTCTATAAAATCATGAATGGTGTGGAAAAAAGTGAATACAGATGTTTTATTTTCTCTTTCACGCAATAGAAAAAAATGGGGGGTCACCTGATGAAATTAATAGCAGGTTTAATATAAACAAGAGGAAGTACTTTTTCACACAAAATCCCAAGTTAACCTGTGGAACTCACTGCCATGGAATCTTGTGACAGCCAAGAGCATCACTGGGTTCAAAAATGAACTGGACAAATTCCTGGAAGATCAGTCTATCAATGGCTATTGGCCAAGATGGGCAGAGACACAACCCCATGCTCGGGGCGACCCTAAACCTCTGACTGTTGGGAGGAAACACTACATACTTGCCCTGTTCTGTACACTCCCCCTGAAGCTTTGGCATGGGCCACTGCTGGAGACAGGATACTGGGCAAGATGGACCATTATGACCCAGTATGGCAGCTCTTAGGTTCTTATATTATCAGTCTTCTTTTCTCGAGACTAAGCAGACCCTGTTTTTTTAAACCTTTCCTCCTAGGTCAGGTTTTCTAAACCTTTTATCATTTTTGTTGCTCCCCTCTAGACTCTCTCCAGTTTGTCCACATCTCCTAATGTGTGGTGCCCAAAGCCAGACACGGTACTCCAGCTGAGGCCTCACCAGTGCAGGACCACCTTTGATTTGCATTCAGGTAAAAAAAAAATTAAGTCTGACAGTCAAGGTCCAAAGCTGAATTTGATTGTTGCAAAGAGCAGTTCTGCTCATTCAGATCCATTAACGATATTTCCAGTTTCACCTTGCGTCCTACTAAAATATTTGCTTACACGCAGTCAGCAAGTATAACAATGATTAACTTTACTTTCATGCAAAAAACCTGAAAACACAATTCAAACAATAAAACAGAAGTGTGTCCTTCTGACTTCAGGGGTCTAATTCAAACAGAATACATTGTAAAAAAAATAAGGCCCTTGTCTTCCCTCTTAAGCAGATTGTGTGCTGCCATCCATTAGAGAAGTGGCTGCATTTCAGTGATGCTGCATGCATATAGATAGAAGCCTTTCTGTATTTATTTCTGCCGGTAAACCGCATTAACAGAACCTTGACTTACTTGGAGGCAGATTAGGGCAACCCACTCCCATTAATAAGCAGTTAGTTGTCAGTGAGAGTACTTCATCCTCACAATCTGGCCCTTTAAGTGTCAACACTTGTTGTGTGGTTGTGCAGAAACGACACCTGCTTCTCACCTTTTTTGTCCCATTTATCATGGTACTATGGCCTGAGCTCTATCTTCCTCACCCTCAATGAAATAACACTACTGTCCTCAAACCCGGGGACACTTTGCAATGGCTGCAGTTTTGATAAAACATTAATATGCAGGTTAATAAATGCTCTGTCACAGAATGGTCTTGAAGAACATCATTGTAGCTACAAAAACAACAAGGAGTCCGGTAGCACCTTAAAGACTAACGGATTTATTTGGGCATACGCTTGAAGTGAGGTTTTTTACCCATGAAAGCTTATGCCCAAATAAATCTGTTAGTCTTTAAGGTGCCACCAGACTCCTTCTTATTTTTGTGGATACAGACTAACACAGCTACCCCCTGATACTTGACATCATTGTAGCTGGCATCCCAAGGAATTGATCAGTTCTTTGTCAAGTCATGATGCTTTTGTGGAAACTGCAGGAATCCCAAACAGTGTCTATTCCACTGGGAGTGAGACACCTAATATTATATCTCCAAACAACCCGGAGACTAGCAGAAGGTAACAGGTTATGAGTCTGCGTCTTTGCAGAATTGTTGGAGCGGGTGCTTCTTGGAGTGTTCACTGAAAGGATTTGAGAGCATAATATCCCATTCCCGCTCAACCTCTTCTGCTGCTGAGTTTGCCAGTCTCGGTCACCTTAGCAGAGAAAGCACATTATCCAAGTCTGGAGGGCGTTACCAGAGGCATGTGGGATAGGAAAACCCTGGGTGCTCTGCCTGCTGAATTTCAGGAGGAAGGTCAAGAGCTCTGCAGAGACTGAGTTAATATGTTTATTTTTTCCATTAGGGCTGCTGATTGCCTTCCAAGTCCCTAACTCTGTTTTTGGTTGCTATTAGGAGTGAACTTGGGCAGGTTTAAAGTTCAGGCAGTTACTAATCTCTTGTTGGCTCCAAGAGGGCTGAGCACTCAAAACTCCCGTTGACGGTAAATCCCAAGGAACTCCGTGCCTTGGGGAACTGGTCCCCAGAGCCTGGAATGGGCGCAGCATCTTATCAACGCCCACGCTTTAGAGGGCTGTTTTTTCAGCCCTTGCTGGGCGGGTTTTGTTCCATGTGCCTTGTAAGGCGACAACT